CACAGTGCCCCTCAGTGGCAACTCATGTGCCGTTGCAACATTCAGATTCGTCTACAGTTTGTGTGAATTATAAATACGATGTATAGAAAGTATGCTTACTTTTTACTGAGTCAGTAGGCTAACTCTCGCCATCGACTATTACCCCGTTTCTGGCTCTCGAGTCCAATCCGTGGGGCGTTACGTGTTTCGTCTGCGGTCCTAACTTTCGTGCACACACTTCTGGCGTCCAGGGGCTTTAGGTCGTGTCGATCCGAATCCACTCGCCTAGTCTGCGCGTAGGGGACTATCGGTGAACAGTGTTTCATTATTTCCGACCAGGAGTAGAAAAATTGGGAAGTGCTATAGCTGCGCCTCAACACCAAGACCCGATCGGAGTTGTATCAAACAACTTGGATCCGGTCAAATCATCTGCCCTGTGGTGATTAATCACGGTTGTCCGAGCATGGATAATATGTAACCTTATCAATGCTGGATATGATCAGATTATAGTGATTAAGCCGGAGAAATGAGAAAACAACGCACCGCTTCTGATTCCCGCAGGACATTTACGCAGGCCACGTTGCACCACCACCCACTTTCATGTCCTCCACTAGAACCGAAAATACCCCCTTAGTCGCGGCTGGTAGTGTGCATCCGTGAGTCAGCAATCGGAATTCCGCACCTGTTGTGTCGATCCGATTTTACACACCCTGTGTGCAGTCGCCCGGGATTCGAGACTTTCACCTGTCTTACGTGTGGAAAAGGAAATTGAAACATCGTCTAGTTTGCTTGGCATTCGTCAGCTCCTAGCGGCATGCGCAAATAAATGGGGGAAACTAATCGAAGTGAGTTACTTTATCACCGAAGGTTTGTAATTCAGCTACTGGGCAATGCAAATCGGTGCGGTCATAACAACAGCGGTAACCGCTTACCAGTCACGAGAGTGCGCTATGATGGCTTGGGGTGTGCAGCAGTCTCCTCCACCGGCACCCAATCTGTTTTACCGGCACCGTTTAGCACAACATGCGCTGTTTACTTGCATAAGGAAATGGAGAAGCTAGATAGATGAAATTCATTTAGCACATAGGTGCCAATTTGTATTAGGAAATCTATCCAGCTCATTTTTCGCTACAAACAAGCTGAAGTAGATGGTTAGATGACAGATGACAGCACGAGACAGAACGAGGTCCTATCATCCATCAGCTTCGTCTCCTTGACACGTTGTTTTAATTGTCAAAGGGAGTTAGCTGTTGCACTAATGCTTAATGTCTGTATGGATTTTCTTGTGTGGCTAGTTAGAACCAATCCCACGATAAGGGCAAAACGGGACAGTAGTTCAAGCCTTTCATGTTTGTTATTCTGCTCAATGAAGTAGTAACAGCAGTTTACAAGTGGAGCGGTGCCTTAGATCATTCGCTTTAACTGTGTGCGTGTGGACTGAGTTAAATGGGGCATCAAAACGGCGTCTGTGGACCGCTGATGCTCCTCCGTCGCTGCCACATGCAGTAGAAATGGGAATTTGGGTTGCTCACATTAGTACCTAGATGATCGAACATTAGCTCCATAATCAGAGTATCAACGCATCACATAGCGTGAAAAATCTTTCAACTGAATGTACTGAATCCAAGATGAAGGAATTGAGTCATCCCAGTTCGAGATGTCCGTGCATCCTACTCTTCCCGATCGGGCACTGGCCATTTAGGATGTGTAGGGGGTTATGAGCACACGAGAGCTTATTGTGTCTGGTGGAAGGGCAAACTGGTATCTCCATTACAACATAACCATAAATATAAGCTGCCGTGGCACATGCCAAAGTATAGTACAGTTCCGCTAGAAGCACAGTGTGCATACATTGTGAATCAACCCTTCTGTCCCAAGTTAAGAGGCCTCCTCTTCATCAGTGACCACTTCACGAGAGTCATAACAAGATTTTGTCAACCATCATGTACCACACATGCTACTCATGTTGTGATAACTTGAACCGATCACAAGGTAGTGCAACATTTCGCACGCGGCTCTACTTGTTGTCAGCTGTTTACTCGATGTATGCTAAAGGTAATTCTCAGCTTACTCACATGCCAATGAGAAACTACACAAGGTGTCGGGGCTAAAAGGATGCTGCAGCACAAATTTAGGTTCCGTTTAGATCGACAGTGCACTGCGATGTAAGCAACTGCATCGAAATGCGCTGTCAGGATAAAGAAAGTGAATGTACAATCGATTCGGCAAGAGCTCGTTAAATTATACATTTCACGAGAGAGATTTGTTAGTGTAACACTCGACTAAAGTGTCACTACACATTCGGAAAGCACTGGACTGCCGGCTTTCACTTGTGGGTCCCACCAACGCTGTCCCCCGCATGTATCGGAAACACACAGGACGATGAAGGCTGATTGCACACGTAACCAGCTATCTGGCCACTGCGAGTGCCGGTCATCCCTCGCGGTCAGACTGGCCCAGTGGGCTTAACCACTGGCCCGAAAGCGAAAGGTCACATTTTCCAGTTGCTCATCGGATGAGTGGGAATGCACACCAGTGCCAAGTCCAGGAAGGGCGAAACAGCCATCTGTAGTACTTTTTGTATGTGTAGTAGCTGTCTACTGAGCGTGGCTGCACCGATCTCCTACGAAAATCGGATACAATTTCCTCCTTTCACCAGTCTATAAAGGTATGAATTGTCTGGATGGAGGAGCAAAACTGTGAGATAACGAGTAATCCTTTCACTGCCGAATCATACCGGGTGAAGTTCCTAACTGATGATGTACCAAGTCCTGGGCTTCCATTAGAGAACTGGAAAGTGTCTAACCTCGATATTTGATCAGATGTTTCACACCCCATAAGCATCCCATCGCTGGTCACTGCTGATACAGCTACGTAACAGATTTTCAATAGTTGATTATCCCCAGTGTCTTTAAATCGTAGCAATACACTCTCCGACCTATTTGGTAGCAGTGGAAGCAACTTAGACTACGAACATTTTCATATACACTGAACTGGTATGGCTGTGACAGGTCCTAAAGTTTAAGCCGAATCAACTAACTTACGAGCCATGTTAAGCGATCATCTCGGCCTAACCAATGCAGTGAAGCTGTCAAAGCCTCTGATGAGATGTGGATATCTACCGAGTCCTTTTCATACAAAAACCAACGAGTCATGATGGAGAACATACGCGGGTAATCGTGAAAAATAGGTCTGAGGGCAGCCCAATCATTCTACCTATTGCATCTCTTCCCAAGTGTAAATGACAGTGACTGGCTATAAGTTCTAAACTATCTTCGTCGCTAAGCATTTCGTGAGTAACTGTGCAATCAGCACAAGCACATCCTTAATAAGCTTGAGACATTGGCGATGTAGCCTATGATCCACCACACGCCAGTAATGAAGAAACCAGATGATCAGGGCTTATAACTCTTTAGACGGTCGGTATTTAGCCCCGTGTCCTCGAATATCATAAGTTGATTAGAGACTTCTCTGAAGACATCCATTTAGTAGGCCAGCTATATCCCTCATGCACTTTGAAGGACAATTGCAAGGACACAGTATAAACACACATACACACACACACACACAAATACACTTACTGATTGCCTTTCCCGTGGTCCACGGACAACAACCTCTATAGCGCAGAATTCGTGTACTGCTTGCGACTACCCACGGTGGTGGCTGAGTATTTTCCGCGGCGTTTGCTGGTATAGTGACCTAACGCCGCGCTTATCTATTGAGATGAAATAACAGCACTAAGTTTGATTATTAGGTTTCTAAGTCCATCACTGATCCCAGCATTGTCAATCTGTCAGAAACATCCCTTTCCCCATATCAGCAATGTGTTCAGCTCGTTTATTTGGTTCTTGGTAAAACAGACCCCGGCACATATTCAGTATGGTAAACTAACAGCTACTAGTGGCAGGCGCACCCATTGTGGTTTTTCTTGGGAACTTTGGCTTGACAAGATGGGCAAAAACACAGACCATTAAGGAACCTATTATGTCAAGCGTTTTATACTACTTACTTCCCAACAGTAGATTAATAGAAGACAAGGTTATTCCGTATACATCACGGGCGTATGTTTGGGACAGATTGGGAAGTTCAAAAGGTTTACAATACCAATAAGCTTGGTATATACTTGTAGTGCGATTACATTTCGCTTATGAAACAGAACATTGACGCCTCCTGAGGAAGCTTTTGCCTCAAGAACGAGGTGTGGCCAAAATACAAGCCCACACAAAACCGATTCGTATTCTGTGGCTTTTGAACTCGAGATACCATTCATTCTGAAGGTAGAGTTGAACTGGCAACCAAATGACTTCCTGGTACAAATTGATGGCGTTGACATGATATTCGTGGGCTGATGGTTAATTTCGTCGCTACAGTTTTTGCTTACAAGAGCCACTGCACTTTCGTAATGACAAAGAAAGAAAAGTGTCGGATGCTGTCTTGTGTTACGGTTCGACTTAAGTACACCCGACCAACTGTCCGTAGTTCTCGATGGGTTGAAATCAGTTACCAGCACATGTCAATGTGAGCATGCTCATGGCTGCACTTGAAACATTCTCGCACCTAGCTGGACAACCCGAACAAGCTCAATAATGGCAAGTGGCCGAGAGATTTAAAACGTACGGGACTCGTGAGACAACGATGTTCAAGGCTAAGCGTTTTCCGAGGGTCTCTTGTCGCTAATTTTGTTACCATACTACTAAATCGGATGAACATTCGTTGCACCGGTAAGTAAATCCGCCGGCCCTGGCACGTACAACTCCTTGAGACATAACCTGCTGGTCGACGCTGGGGAAACTGGCACATCCATTGGCCATTGCCCAGTAGGCTGAATTTCAAGGGTGTACTAACGAAGATCTTGGTGACAGCCATATGCAAAAACAGAGTGGCAGAAAACGTAATTTTTTCATCAGTTGAAGCATGGTCCGACGCTGGTTCACCGACATGTTCCACTTCTGCACACAATCAACGAGTAATTTTGCGGTGGGAACCGGTCAGAAGAAAGATGAACGTCTAAACGGACTCACGTTAGTAATCAGCTGAGAAGTTAGTGCCGTCACATGTCCCTCCGCCACCTTTAGACGTTGACGTAGAATTCTAATCTGTAAAGACAAGGCAGAAAATGGTAATCAAGCGATCATATCTACGATGCACTCGATATTGTTCTTTAACGTTAACCGCATTGTCTGAAACAGCGAGATTAATGGGTGGGTGCATTTTACTACCACGGATGACGCTAAAACTGCGACAAAGTGCTCATCGTGTGATAAGGCAGTAAGTCGAGCTCCGGCGCATTTCTGGAAGCATTCTCTTTAGTTAATCAGACTTTTAACACTTATGTGCAAGTACGTCGTGTTTGTAGTGGATGATAAAATTCGGAGCCAGAGAATTAGATATGTGTGCAGGACTTACCTCTTCCAGTTGTCGATTTTCTGTCTGGAAAGTAGATGAGACGGTGCACTCAGTTTAGGAAAAGTCGAAATTAATCCTTGTCAACGTGGGTGTGCTAATCATGCAATCCTATGCCGTGTTAAATTGGACTTATCCCCTCATATTCTTGTGCCAACTCTTCGGAAGTACGCTCAATCGATTCGGATCACCGAGTTCTATCTAATTTTGTCTATATTTTTGAAGTAAGTCCAATGACACGCTGGTACACCACAAACGAAGTTTTCGGAATTTTATTCATTAAGGTCAACGTGATTAACTGCTTATTTGAGTTTCATCAATATCCGAGGTATCATTCGACAGACCTTTAAGGCTGTCAGACAATAGATAAATTACTACTGTGCACCACTGTATACCATAGGTACAGGCACTTTTTGTCATCTCAGGTTAGCACTATATTTTTACGTGCATTTCACTACACAAAGTCTGTGTGATTTTGGCTGTGCTTGCGCCTAGGGACGCACCACCACCAAACCCGCTGACCGGAACCGACAACTGAGGCAGCCCAAACGGCGTGAGCAGCGCAACCTAAAAGTGCATACCGACCAATGATCCATGGGCCGAATAAATTTGTCAACCGGAAATCCAGTGAGCAACAAACCAAAGGTCAATCGTAGCTCGAAAATCACGTGTTCGTTCTGTGCCAATTCCCACAACGCAACAAAGGTGAACAGTACACGTAACGGAACTAACAGCGTATCGACGGATAGGTTATGGTTCTGTGACTTATGTTCAGATAGCGTTTGTTCAGTAAGCGTTTGAACCGCTTACTATAAGGTGTGAAGCGTTGGCTGTCGGCAGACCAAATGTAACTGATCACGGTATTGGAAGGGAAAATCTCAGAACTCGAGTTGCAGATTAGTGCATTACGTAGCCCGAATGCCCGACCAGTTAAAAGGCAAAAGCTCTCTAGCAACCATGCCACACAGTCTAGCGAAAAACAAACACCGTCAGTGAAAAAACAGCAGTGATAACAGGCCGGTTGAACGGTCTCTCAAGTCTCACGTAATGCTCCGAAGCATGCAGAGTTACGCACAAATTGCACGATCACCTCCGTCAGTAGTTGGGCAACAACAATTGACTCCTACAGATAGTGCAACTAACGACGTTGCACGTAAAATATCTTGCCGTTGCTTGGGTCTATCGTCCGCGGAAGACAATCCAGACACTCCCACTCGACAAACCTATGCTCACAGGCAACTGCAGAACAATTACTACGCAACTAAAAGGCGATGACAGTGATTTGTTCAAACGTCCCAGAATCCACTAGCGAATCGCTAAAAGCTAGACCAGTCGAGGAGCAAAACCGCTGGGCTGAAATAACCTGCGCACTCGGAATGAAAATTCTCCCAACTAGTGTTACACGCCTCTCACGAAATCCATCATCTCCATACGTAGGGGAATCTCGGCTACTGCGAGTAACGCTTGACAACACACGCGACCTGGAGGATGTTCTTTTAGCAAACCACATTCTAGCAAACTCTTCTGACAGGCCATGGGCAGAAAGACAGAAGCGGAAATCTAACCCTAATTCGTCACGTCAAAATGAGATGGAGAAAGTGGTACTGGTTCATGGATAGCCAGAATTGTAGCATGACGATAGCAGTGAACGACAGAAGCACGACATCGAACAATGGAGGTACATCGCAGAACTCTACGACATGCAAGATGTCGTGGCTTTTGACGTCACCCGTCTAATTGCCTCCACAAACTGTCAAGGTAGGGGGCCACGAATTTACCTTGGCTACGCCCGAAATGGTATCAGTGGCAATCCAAGCATGGCATGGCAAAAGGAAACTAGGGCCACCATAAGTACGGTTAAGACAATTCCTTCAATTAATACAGAACCCAGATACAGATGAGTCAGCCACAGTTATACCTATCTCAAATAAGCCAACCGTGCAAACAAGCGTTTCAAAAACTTCAACAGACCGGCACTATTTGTGCCGGTCATTCACAGCGAACCGAGCTCCTGATGCGTCAACAAATACAATGCTGCTATACCAACACTCAAGGGCTGTACTCTAAGCTCTCGGAGCTGCGCCACCGACATGAAACAACAACTTTGGACCTCAGATCATTTACTGAAATGGCTCTCAAACGACATACTTGATCCAGAGACTGAACTCAATGAGATGTCAGTCATATGAAATGATCGTCCATCGCGCAGTGGCGGTGTTGCTCACTACTATCGCGATTACTTATGTGAGGCACTTACCGAAAATTCCCTTGTTATTCCCGACGCACTATTTTGCCGACTGCACCTAGCAGGTCGAGATGTTGGTTCACAGAAGATGAGTGATGCTTGCCACTTAGCAGTTATCTATAGACCCCCGAACTCATCAGCAGACAGCGATAACATTCTGTTAAACGCCTTCCGCTATGCCATTTCACAAAAGTGCTCTCACTATCTTATAGTGGGTGACTTTAAGATTCCTTCAATAGCATTCATGTCCCCTACGGGGCCATCATTTAAATCGAAACTCCTCGAATTCATGGATATGGCAGTTTTGTATAACCATGTGCATCGAGCAACCAGACACCGCGGTTCAAACAACCCATCACTCGTGGACTTAATCCTGACTAATGAAGAGCTGTTGATTGAGTCAGTAGCATACGATCCTCTACTGGGCCGTAGCGACCATTCAGTCCTAACATTTGGTTATGTATGTTATGCCAGTATTGTTGCTAAAGAAAGAGAGACTCAACGAACTATTACGGACTATTATAAGCTGCGCAGCTTAGCGGCAACCGTTGACTGGGGCCTACAGACGCACAGCTCAGCGAATGACGCGTGGAATGAATTGAAAGACAATATTAACTGGGTCATACAATCAGCATCGAAGGTTGTACCATTACGAGCATCGCGCTGGACCAATACGTGGATCCGGAGCAGAACACGTAAATGGATCAACAGAAGAGATGAAATCTGGAGACAACATTTGCTAAGCCCATGTGATATCACATGGCAGGATTACAAAGTCATCAGAAACTACTGCACGTCACTCATTAGAGTCGATAAGTACGGATGGCAGGAGAATATGGTGCTGAAATTTACGAGTAACACCAAACTCCTATGCAGATTTTTGAATGGCAAAAGAAAGGTTAAGCCTGGAATACCACCACACAAGCCGGCCAGTGACCTAACAACTACTGCTGTGGACGCCGCGAACGCTCTGCTCCTGCAGTTTGGCTCGATAGCTACAAATACTATGGAACCTTAGCCCTATCAACCAACCAATGTCGTTGGCTTATCCATCAGCTGTTACAAGCAGTATACAGTCTCTGCAGGAATACTGTTCCACTGGAATCGACATGATCTGACCAAAAGTATTTAAAACCCTTTCTCCCACCATAGCAGCACCACTTGCAACCTTTTTCCAGGGTATGCTTAACTCCCATACTCTCCAATCTGAGTGGAAAAATGAAATTATCACTCCAATATACAAAGGAGGTAAGCGATCGGATCCTGCCAACTACCGACCTATTACTCTCTTTCCTATTCAGCAAAGGTGATGGAATCGGTAATCGCAGATGAACTGACGAGATACTTTGAAAATCAACAGATAATTTCTAATGCCCAACACGGTTTCCGACGCAGACAATCTAGTCTCACCAAATTGCTTCTTACTCGGGATTCATGGACCAGGGCGGCTGATGTAGGAGTCCCATAGTTGTGATTTATTTGGATTTTTCTAATGCATTCGACAGGGTCAAGCACTTCTTGCTCCTCCAAAAGCTTGCTGCCTACGGTGTCAACGGTTCCTTGCTCACCTAGTTAAAAGATTACTTACACGACAGAGCAATCAAGGTAAGAATAGTCGACACTCACTCTGCAAGCCTGTGCGTCTCCAGTGGTGTACCACAAGGATCCGTCCTCGACCCGCTACTGTTTTTAGTCTACAGTAATGACCTTGAAGCAGACATTCTATCTCCAATGCAAATATTTGCAGACGATGCTAAAATATGGAGAGTAATTCGCTCAACATCCGATCGTGTCTACTTCCAGGAAGAACTGACCCGGATTAATGAATGGACAGAAAGGAACCAGCTCCTACTTAACCCTGCAAAGTGCCACCAGTTGACGGTGCGCAGCAGCTTCGTCAACACATACCTTTTGGAGCAACACGTCCTGCAACACGTGACTAGTGAACGGGACCGGTATAATCGTGCAAGAGAGTCTTGATAATTCGCTCCAATGTTCGAAAGCAGCAACTGTGGCGAACTTGCACTTGAGGCTTTTGAGGCGAGCTCTCGGCACCTTTGAGCGACGGCTAGTACCATTGCTGATTAACTCCTTATTCATCCTCACATTGAATATGCAATTCACGCCTGGTATCCATGGTTAAAAGGAAATGTTCGTCTATTGGAACCACCCCAAAGAAGAGCCACAAAAGTAACGCGTGGACTATCCTGTCTGTTACGAACTGCGTCTTCGTGTACTCGGTGTGTTCTCCTCAGAATACCGACGGCTTCGCGGGGATCTTACTCTCACACACCGGATACTAACTGAAAGCGAGCATCCATGTGCATCACTTTTGACCCTAGCCCCTTAGAAACAAAGCCGAGGCAACCACCTGAAACTAATGACGCGACAATCCCGTCTGAAATGTAGAAAGTATTTTTCTCACTTAGACTCTGTTCGCACTGAGATGCATTACCAAAATATGTGATGAACGCACCGGACATGACGACATTCGAAAGACTCTTGGACTTTCATCTTAGTGATAAACGCTACACAACAGTTTCATAAAGTATAATGGTTTAACCACTGATACTTCATGTTCCACGTTGGAACATTTTGATTTTAATTTTCTTTTGCATATCCATCCTGTGGGTCCTGTGTTTGTTATGTTTTGTATCCCATTATATACTACTGCACTATTGAACTAACCACAAAATATATTTCAAAAGGTTTGCAACATGTATGAGTGCCAAGGACTCTCCTTGCGGGGTAATAGATTCAGTCCATTTTTATTGACGATGAA